AGGCAGGAAGGCTGGAGGTAGCCGGGGAGGTGACACCTAGACCTGGTGGGAGGTTCGAGGTGGGTGAGATTCTGGGGGAGTCGGTGGGAAGCTGAGCTTTGATGTTAGTCCTGGGCATCTGGCCCAAGGCAAGGCTGCTGTTTATGGCTCTCTGTCCCTGACCTGCAGGGGGGAGAGGTTCCTGTTATATTCGGGGGGGGGGCAGGAAGGATCCTTTGTTTGAGTCGCCAGTCTCCCCTTTGCACGCCCCGACCCTAAACCCCATTCCCTGCCCCTGAGTGCGCTCAGCAGCTAGCCCAGACTCCTTTCACTCCAAAATTCCGTCACCTGGTGCCCAGCAAGAGCCTACTGAGGAGTGCTGCTGCCCCCCGCCCGCCATGCTGCACCCCGAGTCTGTGTGTGCTCCTCTCCGTCACACCCGCCAGACAGTACCTGCCTTCCTGCCGCCTCTCCTGTCTTTCCTGGCACGGGGATAACAGACAGTTGGGTGGGGCAGCCATGCCCAGTCCTACCGGGGAACAGAAGTGCAGAGAGGGGTCTTGGGGGAGACGGAGGTCCCGGCCCTAGGAAGCATCTGCCCCTCTAGGATGAGGACCAGGGGTGGCTGGCACAGCCCCATGATAGCCACAGACTCAGGGACCGCTGGGTTCGTGGCTGCCTACGGGAGCCCATGTTGGCACGGGGGCAGTGTCTGTACACAGATGCCTGTCTGCCCGTGCATGCCTGTGTGCGTCTGGGCCCCGGTGGTGGCCCCGGCCGCATGGCATGGCCTTCCTTGGCTCTCACGGTGTGGAGTTGGGTTTGGGTGCCAGGTGACGGCTGGGGGTAGGGATCTCCCCCCACCCTAGCAGCAGGCAGCCAGGGGAAGGGGAGAGGGAGGTGTGAACCTACCCACAGCACTATTAATAGCCCACATGCCAGGCCACCAAGAACCAGCTGTCTCCGTGGAAACCAGTCCTGCTCCCCCTCCCCCAGCTCCGTGGGGTGGGACTTAGGCCGCGTACAGCACCCCCTACCCATCGTTCTTTGTTACCTTTCTCCCTTTGTTTCCCTCCTTCTTGCCTCTCCTTCCCTCATCTGCCCCCTTCCTCCCCAGCCTTCTCACCTCTCCTTCCGTCCTTTTCCTCCACTTTGCTGACGTCCCTAGTTCTGCGCCACCCCTGCCCCCCTCTTGGTTCCCCCCATCTTTCCCGTTCGCCCCGTTTGCTCCTGTCCTCCTCCTCCAGCCCCTCCGCCTCGCCTCTGCCTCAGTCCACAAGGAGGGCTGGGCTTTCTTCAGAGCATTAGGGCCAAAGTTCAGGGGCCCCAGCGTGTGGGACCAAAGCCAAGTGCAGAGTGTGAGGTAGCATTCGGGGCTGGGTCCCGGGGGTACGGACTCCGCGCTGGCCGCCCCATCCGCGGGGCTGCGGGGTGGGACAGGCGGCGGGGGGAGCGTGGCGTAGTGCCCGTGGATGCCGCGCCGTTACTGTCCCTGCCCCCCCCCTGTCGCAGAAGCACTTAAGCTTAATGAAATGCTTCCCCTCCACGGGCACCTTGCCCATGCTGCCTCCAGGAGGCTCTTATCTGACAGAGGGAGTGGGTGGCCAGGCCAGCTGACAGGTGGGTCTTGCTGTCCCCGCCATCCGGGGGGAGCGTGGCGTAGTGCCCGTGGATGCCGCGCCGTTACTGTCCCTGCCCCCCCCCTGTCGCAGAAGCACTTAAGCTTAATGAAATGCTTCCCCTCCACGGGCACCTTGCCCATGCTGCCTCCAGGAGGCTCTTATCTGACAGAGGGAGTGGGTGGCCAGGCCAGCTGACAGGTGGGTCTTGCTGTCCCCGCCATCCGGAGAAGTCTCAGAGCCCCAGAACTCTACACCCTCCGCCTCCCTAGGCCCTGCCGCCCCCCACAGGGGCGTGCCAGGCAGGGATAGCGACCACACGAGGCTGGACTCCCAGAAGAGGGAGGGGAGGCTGCCCCACCCCCAGGACCCTCTGCCCACCGCTGATGCAGGGCACGTGGCTGGTGCCTCCCTGCATGCCGCCGTGCGCTCGGCCTGAGCTCTGTGTTGCTTTAGAGGCCCAGGTGTCCCTGGAGAGACTTGAAGGAGTCCCCAGGGGCTCTAGTCTCTTGGTGAGTGCCAGGCAAGGGTGCTCCAGGCAGTGAGGGCAACACCTTGGTCCTCTGCCTACTGCCAGGGGCCTAACCGTGGCCCAGACTGCACCATCTGGCACTGGGCACCGATTAGCTCTGCACGGAGGTGGGACAGCGGACTCTGCCCCTCCCACCAGCAGACACGTGCAAGCCCTTGGCAGTGCCCAGACACATTTGGAGTTAAGGCTGGGCCAGGGAGGGGGAAGGGGAAATAAACAGGGTGGTTTGGGTTGGCACGGCCCCAGGTCTCCCCTGCAGCAACTGGTAGCGGTGGATGGGGGCGTGGGGGGCCCTCCAAAGCTAGAGCCTGGGGCGGGAACTGTCTGTGCCATGTGGCTGCCGACGGGGTTCCCTGCCCTGCCCAGCCCGACCCACGGCCGCCAGTGCCCAAGCCTCCCCACCCAGCCCTGTTCTCCTGTCCCCAGGACCTGCTCCCCAGGGCTGCCCCTCTCTCTGTGCCCACCTCTGGGCCTGCCTCCTCTCCTCCCTGGAGGTGCTTGGGCCTCCGGCTGGCGAGTGGATTTTTCCAGCTTCTGTAAACAAGTGGTGGCCGTGTGCCAGGTGGGCAGGAGACAGGCGGGGGCAGCACCACAGCCAGGGTGTGCCAAGCACCGAGGCACAGCTTGTGGGGGGACGACACAGGGAGACACCCAGAGAGACGGAGCGCTTTAGGCGCAGACAGGCTGACCAAGGGCTGCCCCGGGTCCAGAGAGCAGGAACAGAGCTACCTCTATTGTCTGCCCGGCCTGGCCCAGACTCTGGCACACACACAC